AGTTCATGATCAAAAAAGGATAGAAAGGATCATACAGATTGAAAGGGGCAATTATTATAATATAAAATTTCAAAGTTTTTTGTACAAACAAAATCAATGCAGCTGAAATTCGAAGGGGAAGCAGGTAACTGGGAAAATCTTTATAGCACTCTGATAAAGGGCTCATTTTAAAACAATTATTTAATTTATGAAATAAAATGAGCATTTTCATAACAATAGAATAAAATAGATGATTGTGCATGAAATTGCAAATCTATTATGTACAACTTGCTATTCCTTTTAAATACAAAATAAAATTATTGTGTAACTTTCTTTTTTTTTCCTTCCCTACAAGGCTAGCAATTGCCAATAAAAGAGATGCCAAGGTTCCTCCCCTGAAGATGGCTATCATTAGACACAAATGTGTGTGTGTGTGTGTGTGTGTGTGTGTGTGTGTGTGTAAAATCATTCTAAACATACTTGTATTTATCTATTCTTTCTCTGGATGCAGATGGAGTCTTCCTTCATAGGTCCTTTGTAGTTAATTTGGATATTTGTATTAGTCAAATGACTTAGTTGGTCAAAGTTGTCCTTAAAACAATGTTACTGTATACAATGTTCTCTTTGTTCTACTCATTTTGTTCTTCATTATTTCATGCAAGTCTATCCATGTTTTTCTAAAATCAACTCATCATTTCTTATAGCACAGTAGTGTTCCATCATGATCGTGTACCACAACTTGTTCAACTATTTCCCAATTGATGGGCATCCCCCAAAATTTCCAGTTCTTTGTCCCCACAAAGAAAGCTGCTATAAATATTTTAGAACATATAGGTTCTTTTCCTTTTTTTTCCAATCATCTTTGGAAATAGACCTAGTAGTGGCATTTTTCTCAATTACATGTAAAGAAAAATTTGTAACATTGATTTTTAAAAATTTTGAATTCCAAATTCTCTACTTCCGCCTTCCCCTTCTCTCTAGAAGAAAGGCAGTTTTATATAGATTATACGCATGCAGTGGTGCAAAACATTTCCATATTAGAAAGGGCTCATTTTCAAAATATATGTATAGATGCATACATACATATATGGAACTAATTCAAATTTATATGAATAAAAGTCAAGTGCACAAGCACTAATTAAGCACCTACTGAATGCTAGGCACTGTGCCAAGTGCTAGGGACAAAAAGAATAGCCAAAAAAAAAGCCTCTGCTTTCAAGGAATTCACATGGGGGATACAGTGAAATGACTGAACAACAAAAAAAACTATGTACAAACGATCTACGTCAGACAAACCAGAGAGAATCATATTAAAGGAAAATCAAGAAAGGTTTTTTGTAGAAGGTGGGATTTTAGCTGGTACCTGAAGGAAGTCAGGAAATCCAGGAGCTGATGGGGAAGGAGAGCATTCCAGGCATGAGGGACAGCCAGTGATAATGTTGGAGTGGGGACATGGACTGCCTTGCTCTAGGGACTAGAAAGCCACTGTAGTGGATCATAGGGTACATGGTGGAAAGTAAGAAGATTGGAAAAGTATGAGGGGATCATGTTATGAAGGGCTTTGAATGCCAAAAAGAAGATTTTGATATATGGGTTTGGGTGTTTTTAGGCAATTGGGGTTAAGTGATTTGCCCAGGGTTACACAGCTAGTAAGTGTCAAGTGTTTGGTCTGAGGTCAGATTTGACCTCAGGTCCTCCTGACTTCAGGGCTGGTGCTCTATCCACTGTGCCACCTAGCTGCCCCTTGTTATATGATTCCTGAGGTGACAGGGGACCACTGGGGTATGTTGGCTAGACTAGAGATAATGTGTTCAGACCTGTGATTTAGGAAGATCCTAGATAACTGGGAGGATGGTGGTGCCCTCGAAAATTAGGAAAATTAGGAAAAGGGGAGGGCATGAAGAGAAAGAGATTGAGCTCTATTTATAAATGCTTAGTTTCTGATGTCTATGGAGCATTCAGTTCAAGGTGCCCAATAGGTAGTTGGAGATGTGAGACTGCAAGTCAGGGGAGAGGTTAGAGGTAGACAAGAAGATCTGGGAATCATCAGGATAGAGATGACAGTTGCATCCATGGGAACTGAAGAGATCATCAAGTGAAATAGCATAGAGAGAGGAGAGAAAAGGGGCTAGGATAGGGCCTTGTGATACATCCACAGTTAGTGGGCATGACCGGGGTGAAGATCCAGCAAAGGAGCCTGAAAAAAGTCAATCAGTCAGCAAATAGCCAATAGCCAATTCAAGCCACAGAGGACTCCAAAGTTATACTTTAGAGTCATGCAAAATTGGGAAATATATTGAAATCCTGTGGGCCTAAGAGCACAAGCCAAGCTATTTTGAATTAGGATGGGATTAAATTATTCCCTTTCCTAAAAGCGCTGGAAAGCACCAGAAGAGGAAAAGCCGAGCAGGGCAGGAATGAGATGGCAGAGCTCAAATGTTGAGCATCATATAATGACTGAATTAGATATACCCACTGTTTCATTTTGCACACCTAGTGAATTAGCTTGTGTCTAGAATGCCACCCAGTGGCTTATACACAATTATTACACTCTGAGCAGCTATTGAGCTATTACTAGATCAAAAGATTATATATTTAGAGATGGAAAGAAGCTCAGAGTTCTACCAGTCCAATTCTCACCCTTCATTTTTCAGATGAAGAAATTAAACCCCCAGATGTGATTTACCCAGTATCAGCCAGCTAGTAAATGGAAAAGTCCAGATTTTAATCCAAGTCCTCTTGCTCCAAAGCCTTCATTTTTTCCTACTCTACCATGCTGGCACTGTGAAACCCGGTCTTCTCTATGCCAAAAGGAAACAAAGAATTTCAGTAATTAGGCTGGAGAGGTAGGTGGGATCTATATAATGGAAGGTCTTGAATGCCAACCTGAGGGCTTTGGGCTTTATCCTAGAGGCAATAGAGAGCCATTGAAAAGTTTTGAGTAGGGGCTGACCTAGTCAGATCTTTGTTTTAGGAATGCTAATTTGTTTGCTTTATGGAGGCTGTATTAGAAAAGGAAAGAGTGGAAGCAGGGAGACCAATTTGGAGACTCTTATAATCCAGCTGAGAGGTAATTAGGGTCTGAACTGGGATAGAAATTATGTAAGTGGAGAGGAGAGGATGGAGATGAGCAATATTGTGGAGGTAGAGCTGAGGTCTGGACAGTTGATTGGAAGTAGGGGAATGATAAAGAAGGAGTCAAGGATGACAGGATGACCGGAAAGCAATCACCATTTTCTTTTTTTCCTTTTTTTAAGCATTCATTTTTAGAATTTTAAGTTCCCAATTCTCTCCCTCCTTCCAGCCCCGCCCCACTCAATGAGAAAGCAAGCAATACATCCCATTTTTCAAATATGAATTCTAGTCTCCCACCTCTGAAGGAGTTTTCAGTGCTTCACCTGTTGAAATTGCATTCCCATCCTTGGAAGTCCATCTTCAATGTCACCTCCTCCATGAAGCCTTCCTTCATGATGCCACTTTCTTCTGTAAATTCCCCCTTTTTTTTTTTGGCCACACTTTGTTAGGTGGTGCTTTATAAGCAAGCTCTGGAACTGTGCTTTGCTTTGTATGCTTTAGATGTGTTAGGAGACGTGACTCCTGATTGCCCGAGAGATCTGAGAGACTAACTCTGCAGAAGGCAGAGACATGGAGAAAGAAAGGTGGAGAGAAACAGATCAGGAGAGACTAGGCAAGGACTTTTCAAATGAGCCAGATATGTGGGGGAAGTCAGCCTCACACCCTTAAAACATGCACTTTCAACCCTAGAACCTGCTGAGAGTGGACTCCCCTGGGTGACATCAGTCCCTTCCACCTTGGCTGAGCTGAGGGGTTTTATCTTGCTTCCAGGGGGAGCTCCTTTAGCATCACACATTCTTCAGTTCATTTGAATCTGTATAACTCCCCTGACTTTTGCTTACTGATTATGCTTAGATAAATGGATTTATTCAAACCAGTATTCATGATGGTCTTTTACATAACTAGAGTTTAGTGGAGGTGGGGGAGTTAAGCTGGCTATATTCAGATATTACCTTCCTCTTGAGAGCGAGTAGGGACAGTGCCCTTTATTTTGAACGTTGTACTCCTAGACTTGCAGATATTTGACATGTGATGTGTAGTTATAATTCTTGCTCAAGTTTCATCTTGAAGATGAGCAAAAGAAGAAGCAAGAGGCCAGCCATGATCATCATATCATTCCTAGCAAAGGTGAAAATAGTAGTGGTTCTTGCAGAAGGGTGGGCCAGACCCCTGATCTAATCTATGCCACACTCAATTGTCTTTTATATATCCCATGTCATATATTAATAAATCTTACATTCATATTTCTCTTGTGGCCCTTATCTTGTTCTATAGTTACCAAATAACTAAATATCCATGTGTATATATACATGTACGTATATGTATGCATATACACACATACACATTCAGAATTAGAAGGGACTGTAGAAAGTCCACCTCCCCTTCCATTCTGAAGATGAGGAAACTGAGAGCATAAGTGCCTTGCCATTTCCCGTAGATTGTAAGATGTAAAGCCTTGTTTCAAACCTATAGCCTTCAAAGGCAAACTCCAAGTGCTTTCTACTGTAATTACACAGTAGTCTTCTCCCTCTCTCAATCTCCCCTCCTTTCCCACAAGGAATCATGTCCCGTCCCTCCCCCCCTCCCCATGTCCCTTCCTCCCTCAGGGGTAGGGCCATCCTTTTGTCTCTTTGGAAGGTGGAGTCTTTTGGTGAAGAAGGCCCTGGTTCTTGGGTCCCTCGAGGAGTCTGGGTAGGACCAAACATCTCATTACCCAGCCCCGGGTGGAGACACAGATCAGAGAGTCCAAATGTGAAGGGATACTCAGCATGATGATTGGTTTGCCCACAAGAAAATAGACCAATGGAGTACTAGTCCCACCCCCAACCTGTCCAAAGCCCAGCCTGTCAGTTTCCTAGAGGACTGGAGAGGCCAGGTAGGTTGAAAAGGGGGAAAGGGGTAGAAAGGGGCTGGGGGTAGGGGTGGGCTTGGGGGTGATGGTGGTAGTGTAAGGGGTTGATGAGGGCAGGTGGGTGGAATCTAATGGGAGTAGGCCATTTGAGGGGCACCGGAAATTCTCCTTCCTCCCACTCCCCATATGCTCCTTCTGGACTCCTGGAGGCAGTTGCCATGGGAACACTCCCTTTTAAAAAAAAAGATCCCCCAGAGATTCGTCCTCCCCTCAGTCTTTGCTCCAGCGTCTCTCCTACTGTCCCTCTCCTCTCTCCTCTTTCATCCCGTCTGCCTTCGGTTTCCAGACTGTGTCTCTTTGGTTTTCTGCGTTTTCTCCCTGTGTTTCGGTCTGCCTCTCTGTCAGCTCTATCTTCCCCCACTCTGTTTCTTCCCACTCCTCTCTCCTTCACCATTCATCCCTCTTTCCTTCTGTCGCCTCCTCTCGCCTGCATCTTTTAATTATTTTTCTCATCCTCCCCCCATCTCGTTTTCCCTTGTCGTGGCTCTCCGCCCCCTTCTCCATCTCCTCCTCCGTCTCGTCCACGTTAACCCGGGGCCACTGGCCCTACCCCCTCCTGCGTCGTCCCCTCTCTAGCCGGCCAAGGCTGGGGCAGGGGGCGGGGTGGGGCGGGGCTCGTCTGTCGTCTCCTCGCCCCCAGCCCCCTCCCCTTCCTTGGCCTCCTCCCTCTTCTCCCCCTTCCCCTCGGTTCGGTGCCGAGGCCCTACTGCCCGGTCAGGCCCTCCCACGGGGACCCAGGTGTTCGAGCTGCTGGAGGCTGAAGGTGACTGAGCAATGGGCTTGGGGGGCGCGAAGCGAGCGGAGCAGGTGGAGGGGGAGGGGTTGAGAGGCGGGGACCTCGGCGGTTGCGCCGGGCTCTTTGTCTCCATTAACTCCTTCAAGGCAGCCCCTCTTCATCCCCTCCTTCCGCCAGCAGGTGTCTGGAATCAAGGTGTGGGGGGGTGGGGGGAACGCTAGACAACCCCCCCCCCAGGGAGCACATCCCTACTCAGTTGCCCCCGCTCGAGCGAGAGACGTGACCAGAGCGGCTCCCCCTTCCCTAAGCTTTCCATCTGCTTGAAATGAGGCATGGGTTTCTGATCCTTTGCCCCTTCCTCAGGCCTAGTTGGAACCTTGGTTTCCTCTGGTCTTCTTGGGAGTTGCATGTGTCGAGGCTGAACATTTAGACAGGAATAGCACCTGTACTGGGGAGAGGAAACTCTCTGTTCTATCCCTCAGCTATTGGGGGTGGCAGGGATCTCTGGAGTTTGTGTGTGGGATCAGGGGAAGGATGACTGGGTCTCTCAAATGCTGGCCGGCAGAGGATAGGATGCCTGGGTCCTGGGTGGTGGCGTCAGCACTATCCTAGCACTTCAAGGGGAGGGCTGGGTGGTGCTAATCTCTCTCTAAGCTGTGTATGGGAGGGTGGAGGGGGAGGGGTCCCCATCTGCCATTTAATTCCCTCAGAACCTGCTGGGTGCCAAGGGGCTGGTTGCTACAGGATGTACACAGGAGAGCTGGGAACGCCTATGGTGTCCAGCTGGTGGGGGAGGCAGGTATCTGGCTCCCTCCTCCAGATGAAAAGGATACAAAAGAAGTATGAGGAGCATGGGGACTGAGACTGAGAAACTAGACAGTTGGGTGCTGGAAAAGGCAGAAGAGGCTGGGGTGGGGGAAGGTGCTGGTATGTCTGGGTGCTGCAAGAGAGGTTGGGATGCAGGTGTCACCCTCTGTCTTTGTCTGTTGCAGTATGAACATTGGAGCAAAAGCCAAAGCCGGGGGCAGCCGACCCCTGGCTCCCCGCCTGCCCAGCTCCTCAGTACCAGGGCCTCTTGGGACTCCTAAAAGATCAGGAACAGTGCCCCTACGAGCCACTGCTGAACCCCGAACTGTGGTGAAGAGGTCTCCAGGGGAACAGGCAGGAAGAGCAACCGCTGTCCCCAAGGTGACCACAGCCCTATCTGGGCCCCCCAGAACCAGCAAGACAGGCTACAATGTTCCTAGCACAGGTACAGAGGCCCCAGGTCTTGCCTCTTGACCCCCAGCTCCAATTCCTGACACTGTTTCTGGGACCTTAAATCTGCCCCTTTTTGGTCCTCCTGTCTGACAATGACTTTGAACTCTACCCCTTGACCCTGCTGCTACTTGAGTCCCTACCCCTTCTAGTCCTTCATTTCTTGTGTCCAAATGTCAGAGAGAGTAAAGGGAGGGGAATTTGGGGGAAGCAGATTGGCTTCCTCAAGCCTTCTGAGGTACCCTCCAGGGCTCATAATGCAGGGCTTCTGGCCTTAGAGGAAGGCCTTCCCTTGTCCACTCCCTGTCCCCCCCCCAACCCCATCCTCTTCCAAAGGTGTGTTTAAGGTATTATGGGAGGACAGAGGAAGTCAGCATTGAACTAACCTGGAGCTTCTCCCTGTAGTGTCCAGGCAGCCTTTGGTGAGGAAAGCGGAACCAGCCCCAGGTGCTGGCCAAGCTTCCAGGAATGACCCTTCTCCAAGAATGTCTCCCCTTCAGACTGGTCCCTCCACAAGCAGGTATGACCCATTTCCAGATATGGACCCACTCTAGGCATGACTGAGGCATAACACTTATCCAGGTATGACCCTTCCCTAGATAGGACCACTCCAGAGCTGGACCCTCCCCAGGCACAGCCCGTCCTTAGGTATTTCCCCTTCCCAGGCTATTCCCTTCTCCGGATATGGCACACTCCCTTCACATATGGTCCATGTCCCAAACTGGTCCCTCCTTAAGGCCCCTCCTCACATATGCTGTCTCCCCAGGCTGGTCCCTTTCAGGTTCATAGTCCCTCCCTAGGTATGGCTTCTCTCAGGGGTGAGTGTGTCACAGGAAACAAATTTATTTTACAACCTTAGATACAAATGTATACAAACCATCAGCTTTTGTTCCAGGGAAGGGGGTCAGCCCTAAATGATCCTGGGGGACCCAAGCAAAATTTCTTTGTCTGACCCAGGCTTTCTTCTCCTATCTAAGGCCAGGGTCTCAGGGCTCCAAAGTGTGCACCCTAGCCAAGCAAGTCCGCTCTGCCCCAGCAGAGTCTGCAGCCAAGGCTAAAACAGCACTAGCTTCTACCCCCACAGGACGGAGCAATGTGGCCCCAGCAGAGGCCAGGAGAGGTAGGAGAGTCAGGGGGATAGTGATGGCATGGGCCTCAGGCCAAGAGGGTGGTGGCCTGTTAGCAGTGAGGAGTACCCAGGGAAGGGGTCTATGGGGAAAGGGCACCAGGGAAGGAACCGGCTCACCCCCCCCCCCATTTCAATTTGGAAAGGAGCCAAAAACCACCACCAGGTGCAGGCAAAGGGGGAAGGTCTCTTAGGGTCGTCCAAAATGACCCTCCCAGAGGCCTTTCCTCTGTCTGGTCTCTTCCAGATACTGCTCGACCAGCTCAGGGAGCCCAAGCCTCAAGGGCTGGGCTCCCTGGGTCACGTCTGCCTGGAGCCTCAGGACCTGAACCAGGGTCTCCGCGGGCTCCCCCCAAATCCAAGGCCAGGCCCTCTCCCCTGCCCAAAGCCACAGCCCCTAGAAGAACCCCCAAGAGCCCTGGGGACCCTGTCTCCAGCCCAGCCTCTATGGCCAGGAGGAAGTCCAGGGAAGGTTCTGTCGGGGTTCAGTCCCGCCTTCCTGGACCCACCCGTCGCCAGGACCGAGCCTCTACTGCCTCACTGGCCCAGCCCTCTCTTCAGGCCCCGCCCTCGACCGGCTCAGTAATGCGGTCCACGGGTCCTTCCCTTCCCTCTATACCTCCACCTAATAGAAAAGATAAGCAGGCCCACCCATAGCCACGCCCCCTAAACAAGCCCTTCCCCCTTCCTTGCCCACACCTCCTCCAGAAGCCAATTCTTCTCTGTCCACATCTCCCCAGCAGCCCCTATTCTCTCCCTTAGCCACACCTTCTCAACAAACCACGCCCCCTTCATTGACCACACCCTCTCCACAAATCAAATCCTCTCTGTCCACATCTCCCCAGGAGGCTCCACCCTCTCCCTTAGCCACAACTCCTAAACAAGCCCCTCCCCCTCCCTTGCCCACACCCCCTCCAGAAGTGAATCCCTCTCTATCCACATCTCCCCAGCAGGCTCCACCCTCTCCCTTAACCACACCCTCTAAACAAGCCCCTCCCCCTTCCTTGCCCACATTCCCTCTAGAAGCCAATCCTTCTCTGTTCACATCTCCCCAGCAGGCTCCACCCTCTCCCTTAGCCATACCTCCTAAACAATCCCCTCCCCCTTCCTTGCCCACACCCCCTCCAGAAGTCAATCCCTCTGTCCATCTCCCCAGCAGGCTCCACCCTCTCCCTTAGCCACACCTCCTAAACAAGCCCCTCCCCCTTCCTTGCCCACACCTCCTCCAGAAGCCAATCCTTCACTGTTCATATCTCCCCAGCAGGCTCCACCCTCTCCCTTAGCCACACCTCCCAAACAAGGCCCTCCCCCTTCCTTGCCCACACCCCCTCCAGAAGCCAATTCTTCTCTGTCCACATCTCCCCAGCAGGCTCCATCCTCTCCCTTAACCACACCCCCTCCAGAAGTCAATTTCTCTCTGTTCATATCTCCCCAGCAGGCTCCACCTTCTCCTTTAGCCACCAGTCATCTCCAGACCCATCCTTCTCCCTCAGCCACATCACTTCCTCAGGCTCCTCCCTCTCTGACCACAGCCCCTCAACGGGCTCCACCTTCTCCTCCCTTAGCCACACCCTTCCTCCAGGCCCCATCCCCTCCAGCCACACCTCATCCCGAGGCCCCTCCCTCTCCTGTGGCCACACCTATCCAGGGTATTCTCATTCCTTCAACCACTTCCACTCCTCAGGACCCGCCCTCTCCTTTAGCCACACCCTCTGAACAAAGGGCTGACTCTCTCCTGGCCACACCCCTTATGCAGGCCCTGCCCTCTCCCCCTCAGGCCACACCTCTTCAGAAGGGCTTTCTCTTACCCTCATCCCCTTCACAGGAGCCACCCTTGTCCTTAGCCACGCCTCCTCACCAGGCTCCTCCCCTTTCTCAAAGGCTCTCCATTTTGGCCACACCTCTTATACAGGCCCCGCCCATTCCCTCTGACCCACCCTCTCACTTGTTCCCTCCCTCTCCTCCCTTGGCCACACCTCCTCTTCAGTTCTCTCTTTTTCCTTTGGCCTCACCCCCTCCTCAAGCTTCTCCATTTCCTCCAGCTTCACCCCCTCTGCAGGCCCTTCCCTCTTCCCTAGGAGCACACTCTCAACAAGCCCCATCCTTTCGCTTGGTCCCGCCTTCCCCACCCCTGGCCAAACCCCCTCTTCAGTCCCCTCCCTTTCATCTGGCCATGCCTTCTCAGGCGTCATCTTTGGATACATGCCCTGTGCAGCCCCCTCCTCCCTCTCCATTAGCCACGCCTCTTCCTCAGGCTCCTCCCCCGCCCCTGGACACATCTCTTGTGCCACCTTCTCTCTCTCCCTTGGCCACAGCCCCTGTGCTGGCCCAGCCCCACTTGCAGAGTGCGCCTCCTGGGGAGCTGCCCCTTCCCGAGTCTGTCTTGTCCTTGGGAGCCTTGGGTGGGGAGCTGTCCAGAAGCCCATCCAGTACTCTGAGTGGCCCAGACCTTGCTGGACACAGCAGCAGTGCCACAAGTACTCCAGAGGAGCTGCGAGCCTATGACAGTGGCCCTGAGATAGGAGCCCCAGCTTCGCCCCCACCTGATCCTGACCTCGAACTTGCTGCCTGCCATCCTGCTGTTTGGAGCCGGCCAGGAGTCCCCACCCAGAGCCCCTGTACCACCTCCCCTCGACTTGCCCACGGGGTCCAGGTAAGCCCAGCCAGGGGGCAGAGGGGAAAGGCCTGGAGGAAGAGGGCAGCTCTTTGAAGAGGGGATGTCTCAACCCTGTCCTTCCTTCCCATAGGTGAGCCTCTGCCCTGGTCCCCTATGGCTGGGCCCCCTGATGGCCTGTCCACAATCTATGAGGCAGAGGCCCCTGAAACAGCATTTGGACCCCCGAGCAGGGAGGTACAGGATCAGGAAGAAGAAGATGATCAGACAGTGGAGAAGATGCCTCCAGCCCCTCATGGTCCCAAGCCAGCTCGAGTGGGTGAGCTGCAGCTGGGAGCATTGCAGGCCAGTGTAGTACAGCAGTTGCTGAGCAGGACACTGCTGCTGGCTGCAGAGGGACCAGGGGGAGCCAGACAGGGACCTGGGAGTGGCCGCCCAGCTCTGAGTGATGCTGAGCTGGGCCGCTGGGCAGAACTGCTCTCCCCTTTGGATGAGTCCCGGGCTAGCATCACATCTGTCACTAGCTTCTCCCCAGATGATGTTGCCTCACCACAGGGAGACTGGACTGTAGTGGAGGTGGAGACCTTCCACTGAGATGCCTTTGTCCCATCCCATCCGAAGGACTGGTGTGCCCTCTGAACTAAAGGCCCCAGCCTGTCTAATACTGGCATTTTACCTGCTTTCCCATCTGCAGTTCCATAGTAAGGGGAACTGGGCAGAGGGAAAAGCCCTGTTGATGTTCTAGCTTCCTAACATGCTTCTGAGTCCTGGAAGGGTCTTAGCCTGACAAACTCATTGTCAATCCCATGCACTGTATGTATTTGTGGATTGTCCTTGCTGGTTTGCTCCTGTGGCCCTTAGAGTCTGTGTGTGGTGTGTCTGTGTGTTTTCTAAGGCCTTTTTAGTTTGTAATAAATAAAGATGAGACAGTGGAGCTGTAGCTGCTGTGTTTGGGGGGGATTGGGCTGTCTGGAACCTGGATCTGCGGTTCCTTACACAGGTTGTATCAAAGCCCTCTCATTTCTGCTGATGGTGATGGTGTGGTTGAACAGGTGGGGAACAAGGCTTTAGGGACAGGTTTCTCCTTTCTCCCTGGGGCCCAGGGAGGTATTAGGTGACTCTTTGAGGCAGGAGGATTCCTGTGAGGGTGGACACTTTGTCCTCCGAGACAGGGGGCAGCTCACCCCATGCTGCCGACGATGAGTGAGCAGGTTGGAGCTCTGGCTGAAAGATTTTCCACACACTCCGCAGTGATGGGGCTTCTCTCCTGTGGAAAGGTGGAGGGGAATTTGGTGGAAGTGGGGAGGGGCTGGGCAAGGAGCATATGTAGGGGAATAGGTATGGGGCTGGACAGGAGAGGAACTATGGAGGTAGGGTGGGTAAACCCGTTATCAGAACTGGGGAGTTATAGGAATACATTGAGGGGGAGATGGGAAATCTAGTGGGGAGTAAAGATGGTAGAATTCGGGTGGTTAGTGGGTAGGGAAAATGAGGGCAGGGGAGGGTAATGGAGGGGCTTGAGGAACTATGAGAATGAATACGAGGACCGGTAAGGGTGAAATACGTCTGGGGAGAGATGAGGCTGACAATGGATTGGGCTGTTTTCCTACTTCCCTCCTTGAGTGGGAGATCTGTTGCCGGCTAGGAGGGGATGGAGGGGAGGGGCAGTCCTTCTGCCATTTCCTGCTGAGACCACGCGGTGGCCTTTCCAGCAGCTTGGAAGCTTGCTCCCCTACCCTATCCCCCTCTACCCAGCCCATTTCATCTTCATCTTTCCCGGCCCGCACCGGTGTGGGTGAACGTGTGCTTCTTCATGTCGGATTTCTGGTGGAAGCGCTTGGCGCAGAAGGGGCAGGGGTGGGGCCGCGTGCCCGAATGGATGAGCAGGTGTGTGGACAGAGTGGAGGAGCGCCGGAAACTCTTCCCGCACACTCCGCAGGGGAACAGTCTCTCCTGAGGGCAGGACGGATCGGTGGAAGAAGGGACAAGGCTAGGGTTCCTCGACATCATCCCGCCCCACCTTAGAGGCAGAAAGATGAGGCTGGGGCTGGCGCTGGAGTATGTTCTGTCCCTCCGCCCCCCTGTTCTCCTGGGTTACCTTGAACTGGTGAGGGGGCTGTGCTGTGGGTGGTAACAGCAGTAGCTGTGGCTGCAGACGTGGGGAAGCAACTCCTGTCTCAGGCTGAGGCTGGAGCTGGGGCTGGGGGCAGTGACCATCCCAGGAGAGGCTGGCCAGACCCTGGAGCCCTGGGGTTAGGTCAAATGAATCCAGTCAGTATGAGACCCCAAGGACCCAATTGTCTGGTAACCTCTCACAATCTAGCCTAAGCCCACAGCCTTCTGGCTTCCACCTTCTTAGACCCAGGGGAGCTCTTACCAACGAGGTCACCCTCGGTTAGGACAGGGGACCTCAGGGAGGAGCTGGCTTCAGGGTCTGGGGATGAGGGCCTCTCAGCCCATGTGCCTCCAAGGCTCCCCACAGACAGGACTGGATCCCCTGGAGTAAAGCCTATACAAGAAGAACCCATCACTCCTTAAGTACTGTGGGAAAACCCAGGCAGTGTAGCTCTTGACTCTGCTGCTCCTTGCCCACCCTCCATCTAAGATATCCTGGTTCCTAACTCAACACCCCCCCCATACCCACCCCCATCCAAGGCCCTTAAATTCCAGTTTTAATTTGGCCAGTTATCCTGTCCTCATTCTCTGCTCCTCAGCCCTTCTCTCCCTCTAGAACTTGGGCAGCCAAATACCTAGCTCTTCCATGAGAGCCCTGCAGAATTCTGGGGCTAGGGATCTTCAGAAAGGACAGGCCGTACTTACCAATCAACTTTTTCCTTCCAGAGGACCTCTTGCTTCTTACTAGGAAGGATCGAGGCATCTCAGGGGCTACCCACCAGAGGTGGGAGGTAGAAGAAAGCAGACTAGGATCCAGACATCTTTTCCCCTCAATTTGAAGACTCAGGTGTCTAGCCCCATAACCCCCCTCAACTCTTCCCACTTTGGAGATGCTAGTTTAGATTAGCCTGGATTCTTCCGCAGCTATCAGACTCAGATGTGCCTTGGAGGATGGGGACTGAGGACAGCCGAGTATCAGGATGCCTAGGGCCATTCCATCATCTTCCCTCTCCCCCAACATCATCCTGGCACCAGCTCACTCTGGGACTCTAAAAAGCTTTATATCAGGGGCTTGTCATATCTTCCCACTGCTTCCCCCATGCTCTGCAAACACACACACACACACACACACACACACACACACCTAATCCCCACCTATTAGCTATGGGAACACACACTAATTGAGTTCCCATTGCAAATTACAGATTTCCTTCCCAGAAGGAATGAGGATCTAGGTGTCCCTGTCCTCAGACCTGAGCGGGAGTGCCAAGGCAGCCCTACCCTAATATGCCCCCGCCCAACACATACACCTCTGCCCCCTGTTCTTGGGCCTCAGGGGATATACTTACCTTAAGCCCCCATAAAGAGAAAGTAGAACAGAAAGCTCAGCACACAGATCTCCACATCTCCACAGATCTCCACATCTCCACATCCACATGCTTTGCCCCCTTACCAGCCAAGCCTCATAGCTAGCCTAATCTTACCTACACATCGAAGTCTAGCTCCAGTCTCACCTCCACAAAGTCTGTGCTGACCATTCCAACCCAAAGAGTGTTCTCACTCTTCTAAGTCACCAAGATCAGACCTCCCAGAATCTCAGAGCTGGAAGAGATCTGAGAGGCCATTTAGTCCAACCTGTACATGAGCATAAATCTACTCTGCAACTACCCTTACCAGTGGTTATCCAGACCTCTAACAGGGAGCAATCCATTCCTCTTGGATAGCTCTAGGAAGGTCTTAACCTCTAGTGTGAATTGGCCTCTTTGCAGCTTCTCCTCTAGTTCTGCCCTCTGATGCAAAGCCTAACATCTCCAGTATTTGTCTCTGCCCTTGGCTATCACAAACTCTAGGATACTACAGTCATTTCCCCTTGTGCTTTCTGTAGTCCCATCTCAATAATTCTCCTTGAAGATTAAGATTTGAGCACGGGCTTCTTAAGGTACAAACTGGCGCACCCCCCCCCCCATGTTTCTTTTTGGACAAGACGTGATCATCCATGGATGGATTCCTGTCCTGAATCCCATCTTCTTAAGTCTCAATGACACCTATGAGGTTGTACCTGTTTGTGTTAAAATCTCAGTCACTGTCTCTTGCTCAGATTGTGCAGTTGATATGGAGTTAACTGAATATAGACCTCATCCTTGATCTTTTCTCCTTACCGAAAGTACTATTCTTTGTTCTGTGGTGGTGGGGAAACCCTCTGGATTTAGAGCCTAGAGAACCTAGGTTTAAATCCTTTTTCTACTTCTGTGTGACTTTGAGCACATCACTTCACCTCTTAGGGTCCCAATTTCTTCATCAGTTAAATGAGGGCATTGAATGAGATGGCCCTTAGTATTGCTTCCAGGTCTAAAGCTCCTGATCACGTCCTCCACATTATATTTTTTTTTATGGTTTACATGTAGGCATTTTCTTCCTTCCTGTCACATTCCGGTTTTAAAGCTTTGTTGATCAGGCTACTGAGTCCCTCATCATAGATGTTTTCCCCAGGTCTGTGAGATGCCTTGACCACAAGCCCATCTTTCTTCTATCTTAAGTGTTGGAAGGCTTCCCATACACTAAGTGAGCCTTCATGGAGGACTTGCAGAAAGGCATGGATAAGAATCACACAAGATAAGACAGTGTGGAGGGTTGTGATCTCAGTGGAGAAAGTATCTACACTGATGGGATCACAGATCCACTGAAGTATATACTGAAGTATCCATGATCCAGAAAACCAAATACTCAGTGTTGAACTTGGAAAGACCTGGATTTGAAGTCTGACTCGACATTTATTACCTATGTGACTTTGGCAAGTCATTTCACCTGAGCCTCAGTTTCTATCTACAAAATGGGGATAACACCAATAGTCCTTATTTCACAAGGCTAGGAGATTTAAGTGATAATGTGTGTGTGTGTGTGTGTTGTGTGTATACACACACATATATATACATACATATATATATACACACACATATATATATACACAACATACATATGTAATATTTTGTACATTTTAAAGTTCTACATGAATATCAATTGTTCTTTCTTTTCCAAAATCCAAACCCTCCACTAGCAGGAGATGAATTGCCCATACCCCTAAACCCTTGTTTCCTGTCCAGGACACCACATTTATTAGGGATGCTTATCTTTCAGGTTTCATCTGAGGGGCTTGTTCATTCCCATACAAACTAGAAGTGGGTTCTCATCTCATCTCTGATCTGGACTACTGCATCAGTCTTCTAAAGCAGTCTCCTTCTAGTCTCTCCCCTCTGTATTTCATTTGCTAGATTTATCTTCTTAAAGTCTAGCTCTATTCATATCATTCCCCATCCCTAGAGGACCACCATGAAGTCCTACATAATGTCTTGAATTTGCTTTTCTAGCCTTATCTCCCATTGCTCCCAATGACTAGTCACATTTATCACTCCACTTCCACCCCATCACCCAAGATAACACACACTCTTAACTTCTCTGGCTTTGGTTTTGTAATTTTCTTCTCACTTTGCCAATTAACTAAAATTCTACCTATCTTTCAGAGCTCAGTTTAAGTCTTACCTCCTCCTGGAATCCCTCCTATCCATTCCACCCTCGGTGGTCTCAACTCCTACAAACTTCCTCTGGTTCTTATTTTTCCAATGTCTTCCACTCAGTTAAATTGTCCAGAAGCTACTTAAGGACAGGAGTGAACCCTTATTCTTCTGTATTCCCCTAGTACATCATGTCTGGTGACTTTAATGACACCTCCTCATACATAAGCACACTCCTTACCCCACCCACACATCCGTCTTCATACCCACACAACACAGTAATATATACAAACACGTCATTCACAAACCTCATCTCCCTATCACACACACACCCCTCCACAGCCCCAGTCACCACTGACTTCAATCTCGGTGCCTAAGGGATCTCATCTCACCAAACCATCTGCTCACTCTTGCCAATCTCATCCCTTCCCCCTTTTAAGTCAGGACTTAAAGCCACATTGAAAACTCCACAGCAATCAAGCAAGCCCTGGGAACCCAAGGGTTTGTGATGACATGAGAAAAGGCTTTTCTTAGTTTGTGTGCCACCTCTCCTGATCTAAGTTCTCAGGCTCTGTTCTCTTTTTTTTTCCCTGCTGGCATTCAAAAACCCCTACCTCCACAGCCATACTCTGTCCTGAAAGAGAATTTATTCCCTAGTACTTCAGGGCAATGAAAGCAGTTCTCAGTCTCTCTTGCTCCCTTCCTGCTGCCTGCTATTACATGAGGAAGGGAAAGAACCCTAAGCTACTTTCATTTAAGCCATGAAGCTCAGGCCTCCCTGGTCAGTCTTCATCTCACTTTGCTTAGGTCAGGGTCTCTCCCAGCAAACTCCACCACTCCCCTCAACCCCCCTTCCCAACATCCTACCCACCAATTCTAAGACCGTGTAAATATGCTTTATTATTTGTCTTTCCAACCTTGTGTGGAGACACATGGGTTCATACAGGCAGTGTGAGATGGCGGCGGGCAGAGGGGGGAGGTGGAGGCCATACACTTACACCTGACAGGATGTTGCAGAGCAGGCCAGACACCTGCAGAATACCAGTCACCCTCAACTACTTCTGGTCTCGACACAGAGGACAGAGCCAGTGGGAGGTGATGCTGTGTATGTACGTAAGAGAAAAGGGATGGAGTAAAGAGAGTGGGAAACCGGCCCCACAGGGGCTTTCCTATTAAGTATAGATCAGACTATTTGCTTCTGATATCAGCTAAGGGGCAGGGGCAACGGTGGCAGGGGTCAGGAGATAGCTTTGGGAGCACCAATGTGGTGGGCTGCCCTGGAGCCATGAGCCCTCAGTGACTGGGGGAGGACAAGAGAGCATGGTGTGAGGAATGAAAGATAGGGCAGATCCTTCTGCAAGGACAGGGAGGAGGACAGAGAATAACACTTAGGGTATAGTGTGTGTGTTTGAGGGCAGCATGCCCCCAGAGCAGCTTAAGTAGACACTTCATGGATTTTGGCACCTAAGTTCTCAAACTCAGCAAACGGAGCCCGAGGGGGAGGAGTCAGGGATGAAATGGAAGACCAGAAGTCTTATTCTCCAGGGAATAGGGCACTTCTTCCTTCCATGGCCACAGGCACAAATTCTACAAGCAGGTTCCTAGGACAGGGCCTACCAGGGAAACATTTCTATTCCTCTTTGCCCAAGTTCCTTCCCCTCCTAGGTGGCTTCTTCTGGATTGGTTGACCCGCTTGGAGTGAAGGGGGAGGGTACAGAAGGGCACAGATGGGTGCTGAATACTGATACTGTACTGCAAGGAGAGACAAATGGGATAAGACACTCAAGTGACAATCTCCCTACCCCCTTCCCTCTAGGGTCTGGTCACCATCTGGCTATGAGGAAGCCTGGCAGCACCTTTAATGTTGGCAAAGAAAAGAGACACCAGGAAAACCTTAGAAAGCAAAGTGCTGGGTGTAGGGGAAGAGGATGCTCCATGGTGGGATGAGCAGGCTCTGTATGGTGAGGGAGCTCCACGGTCTGAGACTATGATGGTCAGAGGCCGCTCTTCACTAGCTCTAGGGGTGGCTAAAGCAGTTCCTCTCTTAGCTCAGGAGCCAAATGAAGATTCCTTCTTCCCCTCTGTGGCCCAAAGAAATCCTCCTCAGACCTCTGGGTATAGGAGCTTACTTAACCCTGGCCGGGACTAGTGGCAGGTGGGTGGGTGGGTAAGCTGCTCAGGATGAGCAGATACTTCTAGACATTCTCTTAGATATTTGCTCCCCAGACTGGGATGACTTTGGTTTTAGCAGAAAAAGGGCCTGTTCCTCCAGGGGCACTGACCCAGGTACTGGCTTGGCTGATGGCAAGAAGGGAGTGGCGGAGGAGAAACAATACGGTGAGAAAATGGAATTGGCACAGGGAAGAAGAGGCAGCTGCTAGTGGAAGGCACAATGCCCAAATTGATACAGGGACTGCCCCAACCATCTCTTCCTGTTCTGAGGCCAGTCCTTCCACCTCATGGGCTACAAGGGGATGGCCTGGGAAGGACGGAGCTAGTCACTGAGAGTATGGACATGCCAGGGCCAAGGAATTCTAGAGTGGAAGATCCCACAGAAGGCCCAGCAAACAGATGAAGGTGGGTAGCTTGCACGTCCTGCATCTTCAAGGGTGTAAGCCAGCCTCTTTCGTCAGCCTGACCAAAGCAGGAGGCCATAGCTCAGGGGCAGCTGGTGGTCTTTATGTCACAGAAAAGAGAATCCTAGTCTTGCTCTGACACTAGGTTATAGCTCCGGGAGGCCTGTGGCCATGACCCATCTGTCAAGACCTGGCTTCTTTTTTCCTTAGGAGGGAATCTTTTGACTCAGGAATCTTGCTTCCCTTGTCAGATCTGCTAATGGCTGAATCCTGCCCTCCCCCCAACACCCTCACCAACCCCTACACGTGGAGGTGCAGAGCCGGCAGGCAGGGACGTGGTTAATCTGAAGCACCTCCAAGGATGTGGCAGGGCAGGAAGGTCTACGTGTCCTGAACTCTCAAGTCCCCGGAGAAGACAGGCAGCCTAATCCTAGGGATGGAGGCAGAGAAGCTGTGGCACTTGCCACAGAGAAGGCCAGTACTGATCATTGGTCCTCTATGCCCCTCCTCGCTCCAGTGCCTGTGCTGCTCTCTGGAGGGAACGGCAGTGCTTTCTGGTCCTGGGCAGTCAGGGATGGGGGAGGAGAACAAAGCAATCCTCTTGTAGATAAATAAATAACACTGGGAACAATCAGAAACTTAGAGACCACAGAAGTGTTCCGAGGAGGAGGGGAGCCTGTGACTCCCAGAGTCATAGCATCCTCCTGTCTCCCAGTCCCTGCCCTAGAGAACCCCTGAAAGGAATGAGGGTGGTGGGAGATGGGAAGGGAGCCACAGAATGGAGTTGAGTTTAAATACAGTGAATCACAAGCGCCCTTGGGAGAGGGCAGTGTAGACAACACTCAAGGGAGATGTTCTGGTGCCCTCTGTGGAGGGGCTAGGCACACCCAGATGTGCCCCACTCCCCCTCATCCCTGTGGGGAGGGGACATCCCCTCCAGGAAGAATGCTGGATGGAGGTTGGGAAGAGCCTGCCCTCCTACCCCCCTGAACATGAGAGGTCTGGGCCCCAGGCGGGGCAAGCCAGGGAGGCAGTCATTCCTCAGTTACCCAGGCTCTGGCCGTAGGAAGGGGCCAGCTCATCAGCTTCACTGTCTGTGCTGCCCTCACTGTCCTTGGCTGGGCGGTCCAGGTGTCGGAAGAACCGGGCATCTCGGGGAGAGAGAGGATACAGGGCATCCTGGAGGGCTGCCCCTACCCCTACGCCTACACCCAGGAGCTCCTCATCAGAGGAGGGCAGCGAGTCCTCATCCAAATGACGTACCAAATGGAGGCTGTCAAATGCCAAGGGGTCCTCAAATGGGGGTGGGCCCTTCAGTAGCCGAACCTGGGAGATGGGGGAAGCGGAGATAAGGCTGGGAAGGCAGTGGACCTACAGGAGCCAAACCCATATTAGAGGGGAAGATGGGAAGATAAGCCGAGGCCAGGATGAGATGGGAGATAAAGTGAACGCCAGAGAGGACTGAGGGGGATGGCGATGGAGGAAACAAAGATGACTGAGGGATATGGAAGGGAAACAGAAAAAGGGGGAGGGAGCGAGACCCACTGGGTGGCAGGAGGAAGGATGGCTCTTTGGTGGAAAACACAGAGCAGGAGGAAGGGGTGCCCCACCGTGCCCCACCAGCGAGACAGCTGTTACTGGATTTGAGGGGAAGACAAGGGGCCAGCCAGATTGGGGGAGGAGGGATGGGGATCAGGCAGAGGGCTGGTAAGATTCTGAAGAAAAAGTCTTCCACCTCAGCCCAGCCCTGATTCACCCAGACACCAGAGCCTGAGGGGGAGGCTCTGTGGGAGGGGGAGTTACCCTGGGCTCTGATACGAAGGGGTGGCCTGTGGGAGCCTACAAGTCCCAGCATGCAGTGCGTCGCCTCAATCCAGCTGCCAGCCTGCCCAGGGTGAGAGACTCTGCTCGGATCAAGACAAGAGTTATGGGGCAGGGAGCTCCTGTCCTGATGTGGGGCCCATGAGTGGGCCTGAGACCCCAAGCACAGCCGGGGAGCCCCTAGTGGGGAGTCCTGCCTCTTGGCCTCCCTTATTTTCTCCCTGACAGCTGGCCCCTCTCTTTGCCCTTTCTAGGCAGTGACTATGGCCATGACTGGGGGCTCTGCAGCCAGCTCATGGAATGGGGACCAAGAGAGAGAACATGTGTGAGATGTTGCCTTCTCTGCCTCCCTGTGCCATTGTAGGCACAATCCTGTGTCTGCTCTAGAGGCAATATAAAACTGAAACAGCAGCATTGCATGATCATGATGGAAGATGATGTGGTTTTAAACTTCCCAGAGAGCTTCCACCTCACACTACTTCTGGCCAGCAGGGATTTTTACTCCATTTTACAGAGCAGGAAAACTAAGGTGAGGAAAGAGGAAGGGGCTTCTGTGCCCCTGGTCACCCACTGAGGCAGTGGCGGAGTCAGGAGCATAACTCCAGTCTCCCGGTTATTAGGCCAGGGCTCCTGCCATTCATTTTGCCATAGGACCCATCCGCTGGTGAGAGGTTCGGATGAGAGATGCCCTGTTCTCTGTCTGGGTCCAGAGTCCCACAGTTTGCTCCGGGGAAGCTAGAGCACTCATCCTGGGGAAAGTCTGACTGTTCTCTGGAAGACTACTAATGCGCTTTGCTCCTTGCTTAGCAAAGCATCTGGGAAATCTGCCAACAAGTCCAGGACCCTGGGAATGTCTCTCCTGGGCCCATTAGCTTGTGCCTTGGCATAAAGGCGAAGGGCTCCCAGCATGCCCACAAAGGGAATGGCTGGCCTCCCTTCTTGGAATGCTGGAAGGCAGATGAGCAACTTGAGAAGTTCAAGCCCAGGGCAGGCCTGGCACTCACCTCGGCCTTGAGTTCGTCAATCTGATCCTTGAGCTCACGGATGTACTGGGAGGAGTCTGAGTGGTTGAGCTGCCCCTGAATCATACCCTCTTCTCTCTGTAAGGCAAAAATGTGCCCCATGCCAGGTCGCCGAATGGCGAGGGGAGGAAAGAGGAGACCAGGGCTTCCCCACATCAGCCTCTCCTCTTCGGTTACATCCTCCGGCCCTGGCTTTGGTCCCTCACCTGAATCTCCAGCTCTGCGATGCGCTGCCTCATCTCCGCTACAGCAGCCATGCTGTCTGCCTCTCGGAGCCTTACTGCCATCACCTCCTCCTTGCTCTGGAGGAGCAAAAGCAGCAGGAAAGCACAGGAGCTGACTCAGGGGAGGGAGGCACAAAGGAAGGGAGAGAGAGGGGACTCATGGAAGCCCAGCAGACTGGGCTGGAGGGCAGGCCCTGGAAGATGGGGAAAGGCCTCAGAGCATGCAGGGAAGTGAGCACAGCCTGGGGGTGGGGCGGAGGCCCACCTTACACTCAGCCTCAGCATGCTTGCGTTTGCTCTCACTCAGTTGGGTCTGCAGGCCTTTGTTCTGTGCCACCAGGTAATGGAGCTTTTCCTGCAGGCCTGCACTCTCTGCTTCTACCCGGTTCAACAAGTTTCGGTGGATCTGGTCCTAGGAGGAGAAGTCACCAGCAAGTGACCAAGTGGCTCCAGGCAGTGCAGGGAGAGTCTAGAGCCAGAAACCACAGTGTAACAAAATGAGGTGACACCTGGCCTGTAACCAACAAGGAGCAAGCCAACAATGAGGGGAGATCGCGTGGCTCAGTGGGCTTCATGAGGTCCATCTGAGGCAGGGAGATGGCCTAGGCTTGGCAATGGCACAAGGGGAGGGTGGAGGCCAGGGAAGACGGGACTCATTCTGGGCAGATTCTCTGACCTGTGTCTCCAGCTCCACCACTCGCTGCCGCAGCTCCCTCCCTTCCGCCAGAGCATGGGCCTCTCGCAGCCGCACAGTCATCAGTTCATCCTGCAGGTCGCTAAGGGCCAGCTTTCGGGGAGACTCCTTCCATCTCCCTCCCCGGGAGAGGTGGGCCTATCCAGGAGGGAGGAAAGGTCATCAGGTTTTAGAGTCAGAAGAGACCTTAGATAGTACGATCAGCCTCCTGGAATCTCAACGCAACTCTTAGAGTGTGAAATGACTCAATGAGGATCTTCCAAATAACACCCAAGATTGTAGTCCTAGGAAGATGAAAACATACAGGGGAGGGCGCAATGGGGGAGACCTCTTCCTGGGTTGCCTGGGGTGGGGGGTGATGCTTCATGTTACTGGCTAAATGGGGCTGAACCTGAAGGTCCTCCCTACAGCAGCTCCTCATCAATAAGAGCTGACATTTCTATAGGGCTTCCTGATTTACAAAGTATTTACATTATCTCACTACTCACAGCCCTGTGAGGGAGTTAGTACAAAGCACTTGGCACACTTCAAAGAATTATGTAAATGTGAGTTATTTTTATCACTCCAGTCCTCAAGAATATCTGTTCCTCCATCAGGGAGAGGGCTTGCTCCTTCAGTGCACACCTAGCTATGCTGCTTTAGGAACTGAAGTCACATCGGGCCTCCCCTGCCCGGAGCCTCCCAGACACAGGCTAGGCTGAAGGCCACACCATTCTCCTGTACAAGGCACAAGTAATGGCATGAGAGGCCCAGTCAGACAACAGTTCCTAGGGAAAGACCTGGTGGGATTTAGTGAATTGTAAGCTCAGCACAAGTCCACAACAGGATGCAGACATCCAAATGGCCAAGAGAAGAGAAGCAAAATGAGGGAGGTCACTGCCCCACTGTCCTCTGCCCCGGTCAGACGCCATCTGGAGGACTGTGGGCAGCTCTGGGAACCACATTTTAAGAAAAACATTTAAAAACTGAAATACATCCAAAGGAGGGTGACCAAAAGAGTGACTGGATGGGAGACAGTCTGTAATTGGATCCACTGAGGGACTGGGATGCTCACTTGGAGAAAAGAAGAGACACAATAGGAGACATAACAGTGACCTCCAGGCATCTAAGGGGATGTCATGAGGGAAGTGGGATTCGATTTCTTCTTCTTGATCCTGGAGGGCAGCAATGGAAGGTAGTTGCAAAGAAGTAAAGTCAGGCTTGATGTAAGGGAAAAATTTCTAACAATCAGAGCTGACTACAAGTGGAAAGGGCTCCTCCTCATGGAACTCCACTTTATTTTTCCATCTAGCAAACACTTAGTAAGTGCCTACTATGGCAAGGCACCGTCTGAGGTGTTAGGTGTTAGAGGTTCAAAGATAAAAACAAAACTATCCCTGCTCTCAAGAAGTGGCATCCCCTGAGGAGGAATAGGCTCCCCACGCTGGGAAGCCTTGGGTTGGAACACGGCTGATCACTTCGAAGGTCGTAGTATCTTAGTGCACAGGGAATTCCTGTTCATGCAAGGGCTGGTAAGATGACAACTGAGATTCTGTTATTCAAAAGAAGTCCAATCTGCAGCCACATCCCCACTCCAACCTTTTCTCTAGCTTGGTAGTACCAGCAAGGGCTTGCTAAGCTTGCACAGCTTTAAGAAGCCAGGGGAACCTCCATTCTCCAGAGGAGCACTGCAAAAAGACACTAATAGAGCATGCAAACCTTGTTAGCCTCAAGAAAACCAAAGCTCAAGACAGGAAATGGTTTTGCCCATATGACAAGGAAGTGGCAGAGACAGCACTTGAACCCAGAGTTGGGGACTGCCAGTCCAGGACTGTGCAGTGCATCGCTGAGTGAGAGGGAAAGCCCTGCCGGGGGCCTTCGACTCCCGCTGCTCTCACCTGCCAGCTGTCTGTGAGCTCCTGAACTTGCAGTTTCAGCTCCCGAAGAGAGGCCACGGCCTCACTCTCCCGAAGTTTTAGACCTTTAAGTTCCTCCTGCAGCCGGGCCACATTGTTCTCATCAGGAAGTGAGTTGTTCCTCTAGGCAGAGTAGAAGAGGGAACAGTCAGTGGAGGGAGTCAGGCTTTTGCCTCTACCCCTCCCTCGGCCCCAGGGCTTGGTACTTGAAGAAAGCAGTGGGTGATCTTGACAACTAGGGTCTGGTGTTCCTTGGTCCGGACTACCTTGGTTGGTTACTTTGCCTCTCAAAGGGCTGTGTGACCCATCTTCTTCACTGCCAAGGCCATACCCTCCCTAACTCCAGCTGGGGAAACTGCCATGCTTCATTCTTATAGCTAGGCTGGTGAAGGGAGCTCTAGGACCTCTGGCCTTCCAGGAACCTCTGGCTTCCTAGGTCAATCCTACTGCTACGGACTAAAAGGACAGCCCCTCTGGGACTCAAAGCTTCCATTTCCCAGGTTCCCAACCTCGAGCCTAAGTTACTGTGATGAAAGATTGAGAAATGAAGTCAGACACATGGAGGGAAGGAGAGAAGGAGGCAGTGAGGGAGAGATGAATGATGTAATGAAGACGGAGTTAGAAAGAGGAGACTGGATTTCTTGTTTTGTGACCTCTCTGGAAAGGTGCTAATATGTGGCTTGTCCCATTGCAGGCACCCTCTGGGTCTGACACCTGGCCCTTCCCCTCAGCCCCTCCCAGATACTTAGAAGATGCAGAGATCATAAACTCCTCTAGCTTCTAGAGAAGTCATATTGTCCATCCATCTATTTCCAGGTAGAAGAGTCCCTACACCTGGACCAATGAAACTCTCCCCAGTTCCCCTGAAAAGTAGGTTCCACAATTAGGTGGAAGCTATAAGCAATACTATTTATGTAGCACTTTAAGGTTTACAGATCTGACCATGTCGTCTTTCTATTCAATCAACTCCAGTGGCTCCCTACATCACCTCCAGCTTCAAATATAAAATCTTGTTGGGCTTTACAAGCTCTTCATAATTTGATCTCTTCCTGCCTCTCTGGTACTCTTACGCCTTACTCTCCTCCATGTACTCTACAACCCTGTGCCACTGGCTTCATTTTTGTTCTTCAAACAAGATACTCCATCTATCTCCTCTGGACATTTTCTCCAGTAGTCTCCCATGCCTGGAATTCTCTCCCTCCTCCTCTCTGCCTACTGACTTCCCTGAAGTCCCAGATGAAGTTCCACCTTCTACAAGAAACTTTCCCAACTCCCCTTAATGCTAATACCTTTCCTCTTTTGATGACCTCCAATCTATGCTGTCTGTATCCTGCATGTATTGTTTCTCCCATTAGACTGAGCTCCTTGAGGGCAGACTTTGTACCCTCCATTCTTAGGAGGTGCTAATGTGTGTTGACTTGACTTGACAAAGTGCTTTCCCCACAATAACCCCATGAGGCATTTCAATGGTAGAAGGAAACAGGTTCAGAGAAGTTGTGACTCGCCCAAGGTTACAATCGAGCAAGTGTTGGAGCTGAACTTTGAAAGGTCTCCTCACTCAGTGACCAAATCTCTTTCCACCACACTAGACATTAAGACACTTTCCCCCTAGAGATCAGAAATTCTGTATTCAAGTATTTGTATTCAAGTTAAATCTCCACTTCACAAATTATAGACCAAATTCCCTTTTTCCTTGTCCAGATGTCAGGGGAACTGTTGGCCTCCACCCTTTTTGTCAAGAAGCCAGCTCTATGTGCAGGGAACCCTAAGACATTAATACAAATGACTTTTTATTGACTCCGAAATACCCTCTCACAAACTGGGGTTCCTCAGTACCCCTAATGCTAGGAAAGGTCTAGGTCTAGAGACAGTACCAACCATTCTGATTGAAACTGAGAAGGAGAGTGATATCAGATCACTGCCCGAATGGCTGGGGGGAGGACTCCAAATGTACTATTTTTAGCACTCTAGGAGAAGGGCCCTGGCTTTTGATGAAGGTGGAGAGTAGATGGAGGAGAGATAGGGTTTGTTCTAAGCTCTTCCTTCCAAATGAAAAGGGTACCTCTTCCAGGGCCTTTCAGCCTCTATGAGGGTTGGGGCCCAAAGCTATGGCCTAAGGAGGCAGGGATTGATTTAATGTTGAGGCTGTCTAAAGATGAATTGATCCCTTCTCATTAGCAGTCTCCATTTTGGAGAGTAAAGTCGATATGAAACTAGCTGTGGTGGGATCCATGAATTCTGGCCCCTTGCTTCTCTGCTGTTTGTCTTAGGACAGGAAAAGCATCCTGCATCTCTACTCTAATGAGTAGCCCTTAGAAGCTGGGGGTGGGGTGTAGAATGCCTGTAGTTGGCCTTGCATATACTGCTCAAACTAGGCAGAGGAGGCAGGGCCAACCTTTGGGGCCCACATTGCCCTTAGCCTTCTTGAATGGCTGGCATGCTCCGAACAGTGGTTCCCATATTCTCTCGTGTCACTGGAGACAAACAAGGCACCCTCAGGGGGTGTGTTCAGCCCAAAGTTCTTTTCTATCTGAATAGAAGCCCTGAAATGAAAAACTTGCCAAATCTACTGAGCTCTGTCCAGGAAGGAAGGACACAGAAGGAAAACTAGGCCCAGGGCTAAATCTGGCTTATAACCACTATCAAAATTGTAATGGTCAAATTGACATTGATATAGCATTTTAAGGTATTCAAAGTACTTTACACACATTATTTCATGGAGCTTCATTACAACACTGTGCAGAAGGTCTTACAGATATTATTATCCTTATTTTACAGCTGAAAAAACTAAGGTGACCTGCACAGTCACCCAGAGTGTCAGAATTGTTATTTGAACCCAGGTCTAATTACAAGCCCAGCACTCGATCTGATACATCCCAATGCGATTTCTCAGCTGGCTCTGCTTCTGAAAATGGCCCCTTACTTACTTGGAGACACTAGTCTCTCTGAACCATCCCCTCATCAGATAGATGCCCACAGAAGGATTGCTGCCTTACAACCAGAGGGTGGCCAGGGAGACCCAAGGTGTGTTTCTCTTGTCTCCATGCTGTGGGCACACAGTGTGACCATAAAGTCCTGAGACTGACTTTGGGACAGGATTTATAAGAACAATATCACTGCTTTATAGCCAAACTTTTAATGTGATAATTTATATGTCATGTATGTTGTGTACATGTTTCTATGTCTACAAGTGTAGTTTCTATGTCTATGTTTTATTTCTATGTCCATGTACACAAGTTTCTGTGTATGTACATATACAGGTAGTTGGGGTATGGGAGGAGAAGGGAAGGAAAAAGTATATCACCTACCTCTCTCCCAAGCCATGTTAACCATAGTAACTGAGCTGTCTTCCCAGTAATAATGCTGAAGCAACACTTTAAAAAACTCTTTTTGTATATGTATCTAGAGAGATAAGGCTTGTGTAGGAGACAAGACACTTAACTTTTTTGTTCCTCAGTTTTTATCTCTACAAAATAGGAGACTGGACTAATTGATCTACAAGGTCAGAGTGATAAGAATCTTCAGTAGCAAAATTCTTTGATTCTATAAGTAATAGGGATGGGGATGGATGGATAGATATGTGGCTTTCTTCATGTCTTCGCTAAAGTACTTCCTTCTGTGAGAAGCCCTTCCTAAGCCTCTTTCATCTTAGTGGCTTCCCTCTGAGACCACCCCTAATTTACCCTGTATGTATCTTATTTGCACATAGTTGTTGGCCTGTCATCTCCCTCACTAAACTGGGAGCTCCTTGAGATCAGGCGCTGTCTTTCGCTTTTCTTTGTATCCCCAGTGTTTAACATAGTAGGTGCTTATTAAATGCTTGGAGATGTTCAGATAACTTTGTGGAAGACAGTCCCAATGCCTTGTATACTGTTGCTCTGGGTTGGTAGTATGGCTCTATAACCACCACATCTCCTTTTGTCTCCATGCCTGAAGGCAAAACCAGACATCTGGTTTCTCGGTCAGGTACCCTCATTCTCCCACCTTAGGACTGAAAATAAGATCCAGGCATCTGGCCTTTCTCTCCAGAGCCCTAACTCTCCACCTCAGAGTTAGAAATAGGACCTGGGCATCAGCCTTCCACCCAGAGCTGATATGTCCAGTTCTGTGTACGGGAAGAAGATCGAGACATTTATTTCCTCTATTCTGTGCCAACTCCCTGCCTCAGGGCTGAAAAAAGGAGCCAGCTCTCTGGCCTCTCTGTCTTCATAGCCCAACTCTCTAACTCCTAGCTGTTTCCTCTAGTCCCCCTCATGACTGGGGCAGTGGCTCTCGGTGTTCTCTGGTGGCCTCTCTCCTGGTACTTAGAGGCAGGAAGGAAATGGTGGGGGAGGGTGTGTGGAGATGGTGGTAGGAGAGCTCTGGGCTCATGTCTTTGAAGGTACCACAGAAAACACCTTCACCAAGGTTTGCAGAGTAGGGACTGACCGCAGGGAGAAGAAAGCCAGAGAAGCAAATAAGGCAGTGGTGGTTGGGAGGGGGCATAATATAGGAAAATCCAGAGGTTCTCTCTGAAGCCATAGAAGCTTAGCTATTTGGGGAAGGTAGCTTCTGTCTTATCCCATCCCATCTTATCCAACAAAACAACTGATTGGCTGAGGTGAGGAAGATGGACAGATTGCCCCCCCCAAAAAAAAATAACCAGCATAGTCTTTGGTCCTACCCAGAATGACCCTTCTGTTTGCTAGTTCCAAAGCACCCTGCTTCCTCATGGGCCCCACCTTCTCCATGTCCAGGACTTTGTCTTGCATCTCTCGAAGGGCACTCAGGGTCTCTGTCTCACGCATTCGAGACTGTTCCAGTTCTGTCTCCAGGTGGGCCACAAACTCTTCTGTTAGGCGAGGATTATCCTGCATGGGACAAAACAAACATATGATAGGGTAAGATATACACCTGACTTAAGCTAAATTCCTAGAGGTGTTGTGTCCAGAATAAGGAAGGCAAGAGTTCTGCTGTTCTTTGCCTTGGTCAGACTATATCTGCAGCGCTGTGTTCAGTTCTCGGTATGACTTTTAAGGAAGGATGCTAATAAGTAAGAGCATGTAGGAAGAATGCTGGCCAAAATAATGAGGGTATTGAATACTGTGCCATATGCAGATCAGTTGGGGATAATCAGCCTGGAGAAGAGAAGGTTTAGGGGAGGGCATGAGAGCTGTCTTCAAACACATGAAGGACGATCACAGGGAAGAGGGATAAGATTTGCTCCACTTGATCCCAGAGGGCTGAACTGGGAGCAGTAGGTAGAAGTTGCAGACAGGGCAATTTTTGACTCAAGGAAAAATTTCTTAATAATGCTTAGGGCTGTCCTGAAGTGCAAGAGGCTACCTCTGGAGCTCTTGTTGGGTGGACATTGAATGGAAGCTGGCTGACTTCTAGTTGGGGAGAGTGTAGGGGAGATGCCTCTCAGGTAAGGGCTGCCCCCTGAAGTCCCTTCCATGTCAGAAGTCTTCAGGATTCTAGCTTCTAGTCATTTTTTCCTTTCAGGGCCACTGGACTCTCCCTTGAATTAGATGCTAGGCCTGGAAACAAAGCCCTGAGCATTCACTGCTGGCTAGAACTTTTCAACTTGTGCCTCTGCCCTCTGTACTCTGCATCACCATAGCCTGTTCGGAGGCCAAAAGGGGAAAATAAAACATATGTGGGTGGTAGGAAGTACAGAATAATCATCACCTGTTGACTGAACTTAATTGATCAATCACTCAAGAAACATTTATTAAGCACTTATTTATGCCAGTACCTGGCATTGTGCTAAACACTGGGGATACAAAAAGAGGCAAAAGACAGTCCCTGCCCTCAAGAAGCTTATAATCTAAAGGGAGAAACAACTTTGTATATGTATACACACACACACACATATGCAAACAAACTTAGATAAAGCAAGCTATATCCAGGATAAATATGAACTAATTAACAGAGGAAAGACACTAGAATTAAAAGAGGTTAGGGAAGGTTTCCTGTATAAGGTGGGATTTTAGTTGGGACTTAAAAAGAAACCAACAAATAGGCAGTTATGAATAGAGGTGTAAAATATACACAACCCACAACCTGGGCATTGTCTTTGAGCTCCAAGACATTAAACACTTTTCACATGGAAAGAAGTAAAAAGAGCACTGAGGCTGTGGGAATAAGGATCCTTCGGTTCTTGTTCTGGCTGTGCCACAAACTGCCTGTGTGACCTTGGGAAAGTTATTTTCACTCTCAGAGTCTCAGTCTCCTCATCTGTAAAATAAGAAGTTGGACTAGATGCTTCCGTCTAACTCTGACAGTCTAAGTTTGCTGAAGTCTCACCCTGAGATGCAGGGTGTGGGGGTGGGAAAGTCTGGGGAATGCTTGGAGCCTAAGAAAACATCTAGGGGGAATGCACATGGCCTCTACTCAAATATCTTTCACATTTACCCATTACATAAAGTCCTCATACTGCCATTCAAAAGGCCTTCATCATTTGTCTCCAACACATGTCTAGCCTCATCTCGTATTATAGTCTTTTATATTCCAGCCAAACGGGGCAACTCTTCATTTGCCATTGTCCTCCTTCCTTCTCCTATCTCTGTCTTTGCTCACACTATTTCCCATACCTAGAATGCTCTCTCTTCTTCTCACATCTCCTTCTCTTAAAATTCCTCCCTTTCTCCAAGGTTTAATTCAAACTTTATCTTCTCTATGAAGCCTTTCCTGATCCTCATCCCTCCAAGTAAAAGTCATCTTTCCCTCTTCAAATTTTCATTGCACTTTGCTTGGACTAATCCTTTGCACTCTTGGGTCAGAGTGATTTTTATATTTGCCTTACATATTTGCCTCCTGGAGGAAGGGCTGTATAGTATCTGTCTCTGTAGCCTGAGGCATGAGCACAAAACTTCACACATAGTACCCTACTAATAAATGTTTGTCAAATGTAAGGAAATAAGAGCACCTAGCCTAGTAAGATCCCTGCTTGTGCTGAGCCTTGTATTCCACATCTAGATATGTGCTTCTCAGGTAGTGGGTACTTACTTATTGTTCACCAGCTGGTCCACAATATACGTCAAAGAAAAAAGCGTGTGTGAGTTTTCTAAATGTACACTTCACTGAACATTTTAACCTACAATGAAGATAAGTTCCCCAAGCTCTACAGAATGGGGGAGAGTGAATAAAGGATAGAAATTAGGACTGTTAAGGTTTGTGGTTCTGGCTAAGTAGTCTATAGCCAACCAAGTATGAGATCTACTTAAATGAACAACAGTTTTCTAGGTGTGGTCTGGGGATCAAGAGTTGTCCGTAAAGGTCCTCATTCCACATGAGGCCTTGTGGTACCATATCTGTTGTCTACATTTCCTTCACACACACACACACACACACACACACACACACACACACACACATCCAGATTCTTGCTTTCTGAAGGTCCCAGAGAATATGGACTAAAAGAAGGAATCAGATAGAGATCCTCTATGGAAGATATATGAGAAAATACCACAGGAATGGTGCAGGACAAAAAAAGGGATTTGCAAGCTGTGTTAATGAAAACAGTATCTACACTAACTCAACTATACATCCTTTAAAGCATCCTATTACGAAGAGCTAGGTGGTATAGAAGATAGAGTGCTGGGCCTGGAGTATGAAACACCTGAGTTCAAATCTGACTTCAGGCACTTACTAGCTGTAAGACCCATGGGCAAGTGACTTAATGGCTGTCTGCCTCAGTTTCCTTAATAGTAGCACCTATCTCTCAGATAGCATCTGTAAACTTTAAAGTGCTATATAAATGCTGGCTATTATTATTATTATTGTTTTTATTAAAACTAGGGAAGAAGCTGGGCTTTGAGTTACTGCTAACTTGGCTTAGAAAAATTAAATTATTCATCTTTCAGGAAAGGAGAAAAATTGTGAGTCCTAGAGAAGCATGGAGAACGGTAGAAAGTGAAGTCTCTTTTGACATAGAGATGAGGCTTTGCTCTCAGTGATCATGTAAAAAGTTAGTACTTTGGAAAAAGAATGATTTTTTCCAAGGATAGAACCAGGAAAAATGCTCAAAGGAAGCTTTCAATAGTATGGGAAATGGAGCAGAAACATTTCTCAGTAGACAAATGAAACATTAAAAGGAAGTTTCTATCTGTCAGGATTATGACCCAGTTCTTTGTGATATTAAGTACTACAAAATTAAACTCTGGACAATGAGAATTATTCCATCTCTTAAGAATTACTTTTTTTAATATGTTTAATAGAAATGTATAAGTACAGCCCGTCAGTTGCATGCCATCTTGGGGAGGGAAGTGGGGAGGGAGGGTAAGAAAATTTAAAACTCAAAAGCTTATGGAAACGAATGTTGAAAACTAAAAATAAACTAAAAAAAATAAATATTAGGAAACAAAAAAAGAATTACTTTTCCTTTTTTTTCTTTCTCATGGTTTTTCCTTCTTGTTCTGATTCTTCTTGCACAACATGACTAATATGGAAGTATGTTTTATATGAATGTACCCGTATAGCCTGTATCAGATTGCATGCTGTTTTGGGGAGTGGGGAGGGGAGGAAGGGGGAAAATTTAGAACTGAAAATCTTATAAAAGTGAATGTTGAAAACTAAAAATAAATAAATAAATGTAAGATTAAAATACATTTTAAAAAATAATTACTTTTCTTCATATTGACAACTACTATAAAAGGAGATTCAATATGTGAAAAGTGTCTGAGTGACAGCTCAAGAGAGAGAAAAAAACCAGTGATTAAAAAGGGATGTTCACATTTATGGTTTTGTTCTCAAGTCTTAAGGGAGCCCCTTTGAGGCAGAGGAAGAAAGACCAGCCAGTAAATGCAGCCCTGTTCACTGGTCAAACAGTTTCTCTGTGCGTGGGCAGGGTGCTGGCATCTCAAGCAACGGGCTCCTGATGGTCCAGTGAAATGAGAGACACAGAGAAGGAGGAGGTACACCACACTAGAGATTTCTGAGAATATGGGGATAGCATGAGGATACACGGCAACCGGTGGGAGGCTAGAGCACTTAAAGGGGGGTGGGGGGACAAAGTCTAACAGCAGAAAGAACCTAAGCGGTAATAAAGACAACCTAACAAAGCACCTTATTCATCAGGGGCATCCTGGCATACCAGAAAGAGTTCTCCCTTCACAACTTACTATGAGACTACAGATAAATCACAAACTTGGAGAAGCTTGATTTCATCCTAGGTAAAAGGAGGAATAATCACACCTGTGGTATCTATGCCATGGGGCTGTGGTAAGCATCAAATGAAAAAATGTACGTGAAGTGCTTTATAAACCTGGAAGCTCTATATAAACATCTGCTCTTATTATCCAAGGCAGTACTTGGCATGCTGTAAGCACTAAATAAACGCGTTCTCTCTCCTACTCCACCCCCATTCCCTTTATCTTTTTTCTGTCTCTCACATACTCCCATAATTCCCCTTAGTTATTAGTTCCAGTGATCCCCTTCAGGGTCTTCCTAAAATCGAATTCCTCTTGCTGTCATATAAATTCAACTCATTTCCTCATGTCTTCTGCTGCTCTCTACCTAACATATGATACAGTTCCTAGGCTGTCAGAGCCACAGAAAGGACCTTACAGGTCATCTGGCCGCTCTCCTCTCTTGTATTGTCGCCCCGCCCCCCCCCCCCCCCCCCCCCCCCCCCCCCCCCCCCGTTGTACTGACAAGAAGGTGAGGCCCAGAAAGATTTAAATGAACTGTCTTGAGGCTCAGGGACCTTTGCGTCTCTCACTTCCTATCAATCTCTATTTCCAGGATGAACCATCCTTGCTCCTTTAGCCTTTACTATAAACCTTCTTTTTCAGATGTTTTGTCTCACTAGCCAGTGTGCAGAGCACCCCTCAGGTCCTTCCTGATTATACTAGGTCCTGATTCACGC